GGCTTTATATATATATATATATATTTCTATATATATTTTTATTAGCTAGAGTATTCGGTCTCTACAGGTCTGAGACTAGCACTCGGTCTCTTCAATGTTCGGTCTTAGACTAAAGATAAGTATTATTAGTGCTCGGTATCGTACTAGTTCTCGGTTTCTTCATAGTATTCAGTTTGCTACTGGTATTCAGCGTCAAACTGTAATCGGCCTCAATAAATGGTGTTCAGCCTAGAGTCTTAGTATTCGGCCTAGGCTTAGTAGATTTAAACTCTTAGGAGTCGGGTCAATGAAGTGGTTAATTTGATAAATAGCATTCGGTCATGTAGTTACTAAGGAGTGTTATTCCATTCGGTCTCGTTCATAAACATGATAATACCTTTTTCGGTCTTGTTCATGATTAGTATTTTATTTTATCATTCTGTTTGATTGAATTGATAGTTAAGTATGATGATATTGAAGAGTGATATGAATTGAGTAAAATGGATGTAAAAGAGAATTCCAAGGAGGAATATCTCATGAATGGTATTGGAATGGTAAAGTATGAATGTGGACAAAGCTTAGCTGGCGTTTATCCTGATATTCCGTGATTGCTCATTCTCACATAGAGAAGAGTAACTCATGTGTGGGAATGGCAGGAGGTCCTAGACCATAAGGTGAACTTGGGCGGAACGGACTAACCTTGGGTGACAGCAGTTGAGGGTATCCCAGCTATTACATCACTCGGGTGCAAAAACGTCGTAGCTACACAAAATTCATACAGTCCGGATAGTTAGAGTAAAGTGATCGGTCATTGCATGCATTGCTGTATGATTATGGTTGGAAATGTATGATTGGTGCATGATTGATCTATTGAATATCTCATAATTGTGTGAATTATATGTTTTACTGAATTAATTAAATTACATAAGCTTACCCTACTTTCCTGTCTTGTCATGTTATCCATTCGGTCATCCTTGTCATTGCAATGATCACCCTGTGGGTGTGATCAGAAGATATTGAGGGTTCTCTGGAGCATGCATTGGCTGGAGAGGATGATTTCCGCTAAGAATAAGACCGTTTGGTCTTGTGTTTGTTTTCGCAATTAGTATAGGACCGTTCGGTGTAATACACTGTTGGTAGGACCGTTCGATCGATACACCTCTTGTATGATCGATCAGTCTGCTTTTATAATTTGTATTAGTGTAGGTTTCTTTAAAGTTTTAATTTATGATTATTTTAGGATAACTGTAAGTTAGCTTTATTTTCTGTAACTGTTCTATCCTATTGTAAATGTAAGCACTCTTAAGTATAGTTTACAGCTATATTTTTAGGATGTTACACCAACACATATTACACGTAAATTTTGCACATAATTTTACCAATAAGCAATGTAATGATTAAAAAACATAATAGAAATGGATATGTCTAGGGTACCGGAAAACCGTATGTTAGAAAGTTGATACTAAATGACCGAGAAACAACTCCTCGCAATAACAAATTAGTGTGCCTCATACAAGACCTGTAAGAAAAATACAAAACCAAAACATGAAAGAAATAAATATTGTTAGATCACACCAGACATGTCAGAAAATTACGAAACCAAGAGATGAGAGAAATAAATATTGTTAGAGTTCCTTGTATAAGTGATTGATTAGATGAGGGGACCTCATGCATATGTTTTTAATGGATATTGTTCCTATAAAAGATCACCGAATCAAACATAAAACTAGTTAAAAGTTGGAATCGTGAGTTTGAAACCAAGGTGGAAAAGCAAAAGAAATAAAAAAGATCTAATATACGATTATTTTGGCAAAGGTGCCCGATTCATGCATCTCTTCTAACACGAAAAACTCCTTAGCAAGCAAAAGGAGTAATTTAATCATTTCATCTAAAATATATTTAAACTATTCTACTTCATACACGTAAAATAGAAAAGAGAGAAGAGGCCAACAAATTAATTACTTGCAACAAAATTCCAGTACATACCGACAAAATTCACATCTCACCCATAATCATCTTATTAATATTGTAATACGCTAATACCTCACTTGAGTTCATAGACAAACTCAAGTGAAGTATTATCATACGAAGGTAGAAGAACAATCATATTGCGGCATTGAACCAGAGCATCGTCGTTGCTAATATGCAGTATTTTTTAACTTCATTATTTAGAAGGCAAAGAAATAAAACAAAAGCAAGAAAGAAAGAAGGATTAAATGAGGAAGCTGCGTAACCTGGACTCTTGAAGAAAATTAGAATGCTTCTTAGGAAGAAGCTGCGCGGTCAAGTCACTTTCTCTTGTAGATGTGATGATCTCCATTTCGGCTAGCTCGCTTCTAATCCAAGATAACTGGAACAAGGCTGGAGAATAATCACCCAACCTAAAGGAAATCTTAAAACAGACAGAAAAAATCTAGCCTACTACTTGTTTGAGTGTATCATCTCAATAAATTGTCATATAATGCCACAATTGGTAACTAGATTTTATAGCAAGTGTTCAACGCTTTCCTCTCTGCTCAATACAAGTGCCAAAACTCAAGAAAGAAACCCATAACCAAGTTTAAGTTTAGCTAAATTAAAATGCAATAGAATTGCATTGTGAATGTGATAAATTTATAGGCCATAAAACTCTTCTTTTTAACTGCCGTAATTAATTACTTATTTCAGTTAGTTTGCTTGTCGGTGGTAGCTTCTAGTTATGAATTTACTCTGATTTTGAACATATTTGTACCTTAAATGCAGTGGGTGTATGACCTTTTGTTGACAGCATGTATGAATGGGCTGTCATTTCTCATGTTCTTCGCCTTTTCATGTTATACTTCTGTTTCATGGTTTTATGGTTTAAACTATCTTCATTTAAAAGAATGCGCAGGACTTCTTTGTCATCTAACAAGCCACTCTTTTCTTCAATCCCAGGGAGAACAATACGTTCTAAAATTTTAATTAGCTAATAATTTTAGAATAGCCAACTGATTTAGAAAAAAGAGAAGCATTTTATCAACTACAAAAATAGGGTCACATGTTCCACTTCTTGGATGCGAACATCCTCACGAGTGATCTCGTATTGTCATTTGAACATCCTAGAGTCAAACAAGAAGGGGCAAAAGGGTCATCATGTTAGGTGTAATCAAATAAGTTCCCTTAGGAAATTTATACAACAAGGAAATAAGACAAACTTTTTAATAGATATAGGCTGTAATTTTTTTACCACTAGTTGATAACATAACAGAATAACTAATTCAGTTACTTTCTGTTTCTATATATATTTGCTCTTCTCTTTTATATGTTGAGATAATAATACATAATTTCCTTCTTCGTTTCTTCCACCCTGTGTTTCTATCTCCTTCTCTGTTTCCTTTTTCTTACATGGTAATCAAAGCTCCTTGCCATGGCTTCTCCAAATTTTTCTTCCCCACCCAAATCTGTTACCTCAGTTGTCCCTTCCTCATTTCACCCACACACTTCCAATACATCGATCTCTCTAAAACTCACCCCTGACAATTTCTTGATATGGCAACAAGTGTTTGCCACCATTAAAGGGCCCAACTCTTCCGCTTCTTGGACGGTCTTGACATTCCACCAAAATACCTATCTTCTGAAGATGCGATCAGCAGCGTCATCATTCCTGCCTTCCTTCAATATTTGCAACAAGATCAACCCTTGGTTGCTTGGCTTCTTGCATCTATGAACACCTCGGTTCTCAATCAAATGGTCGACCTCACTCCCGCCTCTCAAATTTGGAACAAAGTTCAGATTTATCACGCATATCAATCCAGAGAAAAGATCAAATCTTTGAAGATTGCTATCATCTTTTGTTGGAGTGTAATCTTCTCAAAATCCTCCAAAATTAAGTCAATGCAACTAGTTGTGCAGGTGTCTAGTATAACTTTTTTTTTTCTTCTAGGTCAACAAATACCAAACTGCCTTGTATTTTTCTATACTATCTGTAACAATATGGACAATATTCTCTTCCTTCTTCTCCTGAACAACATTATTCATCATCTTAAAAAAAAAATTCACTGTCTTACATCAGTTGACTTCAAAAAGAAAATTTCCCTTAATACTATGTACGAAAATGTTAAGTATAGTCCTCTTCCACTTATTGGTCCCTCTATTGGTCATTTTGGTGCATCTTGTCTTCTTCTAAATGTTTCTAGGCTCCTTCAAATGTTGAGTATTTCAACTTGTTGCTTCAAATATTTCACCCTAACCTCTGGGTGGGATACTGGCTTGAACTCTATACCATCTTTGGCAACCAATACAAACATGTTCTTGAACTTTTCACACTTTCCTACATCAAAAGGTCTTGCATATTCTCATTATGTAGTTTTGAATAGAAAATTGCTTTCTAATATTTTTGCTATCAAATATATACTCTCAAATCCTATTACATAATTGTTATTTTCTACACATACAGGCTTTTGAATACTTGCAGGATTTTAAATAGATCTGCTATTACAAATTCTGTTATTTTATATCACATACTCCTGATAAACAATCATCTTTAACTTAGATCTTAGATCCAATCACACAAACATGAGATCGTCTCCTCGCTTCTCTAGTGCTCTATTTTCAACAGTACTTTTGGTTGTGAAATTGAGCATCAAAGCCTGTGTATTTATACTTAGAATTTCTCATTCAACTTTTGCAAAAGTGGAGTACTTTGAGGTGGGTTCATGGTACTACACTTAACCTAAAACCTCCACCATCGCCTTCAAAAGAGTCCTTCGCTCTCCCTTTGTGTCAATCGTTTGGTTCCCCTTAATTTTGCCTTATTTACAAAAAAAAAAAAAAAAAATTCTTTTGTCATTTTTGCCACGATAATTCTTCATCTGAAGAACTTCATTGTTTTCTTTTGCTTTCCTATAACTTGTCCAAAATGTTGGTGGGCTGCTTTCGTCAGGTTCATGCTAATGTTTGTGCCCTTCTTGTATTGGTTTCTTTCCCTTGATTATGGTCTCTCTAAACATTCATCTTTGGTTATGTTTTCTTGTTGCCTTCACTAATCAACTCTTGTCTTTCTTTCCACTAGTTTTGGCTCTTCTCTTGAACTTCATTTCTATATTCGTTTTCCATCTCCCTGGTTTCTAAATCTTGGATTCGAACTAAAAACATTTCATAGGAAGTACACTACCTCGTGATAAGTCCAGGTTGAGTACTGGTTATTATTCTTCCATGTAACCAGCCATTTGAGAGCTTCTCTTTCCAATGCTAACATGACCTTCTATACTTTTATACCTTCATTAATTCAAAGAACTACTCTGCCATAATCAGCCATCAAATCTTGGAATCTATCTTTGTCATTTTTACAGCAAACCCCTCCCTTCCCCCTAAAAAGTTCCGGACCAGTGCTCTAATAATTGTTGATAGAACTGGATCAGGACCAATAAGAAAATAGATAGAATAGGTGAATAGAAATTACAAAATGTGTATTTTCCTTTTAATCAGAAACTTTGACAACAGAGCCAGAGATGAATAACATTAATGCACGAGGTATTCAAGAGACCATATCCCCTTGCCACTCTTTTAAAGTCCAAACATTCCAAAGCGATCAAATCAACCGCCCCCCCTTCTATGAAGCTCTTTTCTTATTTATTATTTCAAACAATCCCACATAACTAACTAATTCACCAATATAAGTAAGAAATGAATAACTACTCTATTGTGACTAGCTATTAATGAATCAAACAAATCGTCTAATCCAAGTAGCTGACTCCACCAAATGGGAAAAGGCATGGTCGTTGCTATTGGTTGATCTGAATACAAAGTATCTGGAATTCAGTCCGCTTTGTAAATTGGAAATAAGCAACAGGAATTATCAACTGTAAATGACAAAATATCATTGTACAAATTTGGTTGAGCTAGTAGTACTAAATCCCATATGGATAAAGCTAATCTTGCAACCATTCAGTCTAAGTATAATACTTTAATACTCAAAAGCATACGAGTCAACATGTTCATATTTATTTACTTGATTCCCGCCACCATTCCACGAACACATAATGATAAATAGCTATCTTATTTTATGTTACATATTGACTCCATTTTCAATAATATAGGGATGCATTTAATATTCTTACCATAATGTAGAAAAGTAGAAGTGAAAGACCAGAACAAACTTCTGACCATTCTGAACTTGTAGAAATTTTGAACAACCCAAAGTGGAAAAAAATCCACCTAAAAGTTGCGGGGAATTCAATGGGAAGTTGATATATATACAGAAAAATGATATTGAAGCCACCATAAAATAGAAGATATTTCCACCACCTACAAGTTTGTATGAACTAGAATTTTAATAAACTAGTAAAATTCCAATTCTAAATTATATGTAAGTAACAAAAAACGGCCTTATCATAACTCTTCTGCTTGAGGAAGGGGGAGCTTACCGAAAAATACCTAAATAATTGCTTGTCCATGACCAATCAACAAGTCCTATGCTGCTACAAATGAAAAAAGGGAAAGAAATCCAAGATACATGACTTATCCCAGCAATTAATTGTACGGCAGGTAACAATAAGCAGCAAGTACCCTTGAGATGAGATCCTACAACCAAAAAATGGACATCCGTTTATAATTATTAGACACAAGTATATTAGTTTGTTATTGGTATTCAATCATTCACAATTTCATTGGCTAAACATAATGTAACTAAAAGAATTAATGTAACAATTTTATTTACATCTCACTTATATACCCTGATTTTAATGATATCACCAATTGATGTGCCCCAACACCCCTCCTCACACCAAGAATTGGAATTTTGTAGATCCAATAACAACTCAATAATGGATGAAATTGTAAAAACAACAATAGCTGGAATAAACTCTAATATCACCTTATAATTTGGATTTGAGTCTAACTCAATCATACAAACTGACTTGTAAAGTGAAAGTTATCTCTCCACTTGTATACTTTAATTAGGTCATATTTCTAATTGATATAGGATCTTCAACACCACAATCCATGCCAAAAGCTCGTCATCTTGAGCGTGAAGTTTGTAGGATAGCCATCTATGAGTGGTTTGAAACCAAACAACAACTATTAGGAATGGCTCTCAGACTATCTTACAATTCGAGTTTAGATTTAACTTAACCTCATAGAATCAACTAAAAAGTGAAGGTTACCCTCTACTTATATACTTTAATTTGATATATTACTAGTCATTTTAACTCTCCAACAGCCTAAAATTACAGCACTAAGATGGACATAATACATAAAAATAATAATTTAGTCTTAGAGCCAAAGCCTCACAAATAACTATCTAAAGACACAATTACCACAAACAGTTTCAATTTGAGGCAAGTATATCTAAGTCTTCTCTTAGTCCTTCTCATATAGACCTTCCATGGCCTACTACCTATCACGCAAATAGCCATCCTAAGAGCCTAAGAAAAACCTTTGTTATTGTATGTGCCACTTGTCTTTTTCATAATATAGAAACATAAACTTTATTCAGGATAACAAGTCAATTACAAAAAAGGGTAAGCTAAACCATCCATGAAAATTGAACACAGAAAAAGAAGACATGAACAAACTCAAAATAATCAAGGTTCGAAAATGCAAAAGTCACTCAAATACCAACAACGGTGAGCTAGTAACTCTTCTTAAACAAAGATGATCAGCACGCAGGAGAGAAGCCATAAACACAACCCTATTCCAAAGGAAAATTTAGGGCAAAAAGAGAAGTTTGTATGGCAAACCTATCAGCAGAACAAAATAACATAGATGCCCCGAACAAAAGTCTCTCCACCATAGATTTTGATCAAACCAATTTCCATAGATTTCAACTATAGAAAGAAAAGTTGCTAATACTTGTGTGACCAAAAAGTGCTCTCCCAGCAAAGTCCTCCAAGAATGCACTCTGCAAAGTCATTTCATTCAGTATTTTTTTGTAGTGTATTCTGAAGAACAAAACAATGAGGATAAAACCTCTATAATATAAAAAAGGTAAAACCATAAGACAGAAAGTTTGAATACCGTATAAATCCAATTAGCTCAGCCCACTGAGCATCAGCAGTACTCCAATGATCCCCCTCAATGGCTAAAACAATATGAAATACGGCATGGGAGAGTAAGGTCAGAGACGATAACATTAGAACGGACCATGATATCAAATATTGTTGATGAACACGGAATCCTGTTTGCATAAAAAGAAATAGTTTACTACATAAAACAGCAATGTCATGAAGAAATATACAATTATATATTAGCACCAAAAATACTAAAACAGCAATGTCATGAAGAAATAATGGAAACAGAAACATAAATTTAGAGAATGTGTCACCAAACTCCCTATTAGACACCAAATCTTTTGATGTAAGAAAAGGCATGAAAAATCAGTATTTACATCCATACAAGGATTGGAGCAAGCTTCTCACCCTTTCTAGAAGCAGTGTACTGAATGAAAAGGAATGCCATCAAATCAAGCAACGATATCAAACTCCAGTTAAGCAAAGATGCTGCATGAAAAGAGAAAAGTTGTCAGTTGCAATTTTTACTAATAAAACAACTATGACCATACAATAGACTTCATGTAATTTCAACCAATCCCTCTCAAACTTAAGACGGGATCAATTTTATAACTATAAGGGTTGCGTGTCCTTATTGTATGCAAAACCATAAGACCAAGTATGCATACACTCAAAGATAGTTACTGGAATAATATAATACTCTGGAACTTTACTTTTTTTATTCGAAAAGCCCAAACTGATCACGAATAATAGCCAGTTCAAAAAACATTGTGATCAGTAAAAATGAATAGAGTAAATAAATCATATAATATATATAAATAGTAATATATATATATATATATAGTAATATATATATATATATATATATATATATATATATATATATACACTGACAGTGTACAAGAATTTTATACTTTCATTTAATCAGCAACAGTCATACATTATAAGTTTGCCAATTATTACATAAATACCTTAATGTCAATGATGATTATAATTGATTGACATGTAAATTTTGCTTGTTTACACTTGCAACACATAAAAATTCAACTCACATGAATAATGTGAATTCTTCACAATTGAAAGTCAAATTCATATGAAGTTGGTTACTATTATTTAATATATACTCTATAGAAGTGCAATATGAAGTAGCTTCCATCAAGTAAAAAGTGCCTATAGGTGAACTGTAGACTCAACAAAATGATGTGCGAAGAAAATGGAGAGGTGAAGCAAACCTAACAGAAGGAGCATAGGCAATGCGAATCCAGGGATAAACCTCGCCATTACCACTGTTCAAGATTGAAAACTCTTGTCAGTGCAAGCATTATAGAGAGATCGAATCCAATCCGCGCATGAAACCCAGAAAGTTAACGCGGTAAACTTGTTGGTTCTCATGGCGATGTGAACTGCGAAATCGAAACGCTAACAGAAGTGACATGGGAATTGAGGAAAATGGAATGTGAATGGAATCGGCTAGGAATGAAGATTGATGTTTGAAATTTGAGACGCGACAAAGCTTGTTCTACGCTTATGGTTTTTCATTCGTAGCTGGGCCAAAATTCTCCTTGTGCTCAAGTTTTCCTTTCCCTCCTGAATTGGAGGCAACTGTATTTCGATTACTCATCATAGAAGGGCAATCTCGGTACTCCACCTCTTGGAACCTCACTTATAGAATAGACATATCATGTTTACAAAAACGTTTTTAGTTAACAAATATTTATAGTATTTATAAAGTTAATTCACGTCTCTAAGTCGTTATATTTTTATATGTCATGATTTAAGAATAATATTTTTAACAAACCCGCTGCTGGAAACAAAAATTTTAATATTTGCTGAAAATAAAAGAGAAGGAAAAATAATTATTAGAGGTTTAAATGGTCATATTATCAATTTGATATTTTAGATCTTCGATTGCATTTGGTTTAATTTCTTATCTTTCAATAAATTAATTTATTTTATATATTGAAACAAAAAATTGTCAAGACTATGGTAGAATGTCCATAGATTATATGGTGAACCAAATTTCAACATTGCAAACATTCTTTTTTTAATGAAAATAATTGATTGTGTTGTATGATAAATTGATTACCATACTTTAAAATTGTCCCTAGATTAAGAATAGCATATGTAATCAATTATACATCAATACTAATTATACCATAATCAACAATTTATCAAATGATTCATAAGGTAATGAAAAAATAATCGAGTATATCAACTAATTAGTAAAAGGTTCTTTAAATTTAATTAGCAATATTGATTTTTTAAGTCTAGAGCTACATTACTATTCGGCGTAAGATTTTTGTTTTGAATAATAATCAAAACTATGATAGAATGTCTAGTGAAATATGTTTATTATCTTTACCACTCAAAATCAAAATAGTCATGATATCATTTTGTCACGAAAAAAAGAGAATAAATTTGAAGTACATTACATTTGTTAAAAGATATTTATAAAAAACAAAAGAACACTCTTTTACATAAATCAAGTTTTAAACAATTGTAAGCGTAGAAGAAGATGCAAGCTCAGTATGATCTAAGCAGGCTTTATTTATTATCTATGGTGGGAAGTTTTTTTATGATTTACCTTAATTATATGCATTTAAAATTAAATAAATATTATACATAACATATTGATTTCAACAACAAAAAAATCCGAATTAAAACCTGTTTACCATTTTAATGTTCTCAATATACTTCCTTACTATACTTTGGGAAACTTCCATCAAGGGGACGTAGCTCATATGGTAGAGCGCTCGCTTCGCATGCGAGAGGCACGGGGTTCGATTCCCCGCGTCTCCAAGTTTTAAAGATGGTAAAGTTACAAAGATTACCCTCTTCTTGACTTCTCTCCTATTATTAGACAACCATGCTGATTTCTTATATGCAGAGTTTGCAACTCGACACACATGAAGAAAGTGGTAAAATGGTTCTCTTTGTTAATAATGGTTGTGTCAATCAAGAAGGATGATAATTACGTCATTTATTGAATCTTTATTTTTCTAATAAATGGTATTAAAATTAATGGTTATTTTAGTGAAAAAATTTCATGAACAATTGAATGATTCTCCAACTTATCAGTAGAATATTTTTCACCATAACTTTGTGTGCCTATTCTACATGTTTTCACCATAATAATTTAGTCACAATAAACCTTTTTAAAAATACTTTTATTTTTTATATTTTCGAAGGGTGGTTATAAATTGAATTTTTCAAAATTCAGATATAATAAAATTGATTAAATGTATAATTTGTATTCATTTTAATTAGATTAATTAAAAAAAATTTCATCGTTCTCACTTTATTACCAATAGTAAACTCTATGAACAATTCCTAGATATACCAAACTCTACATGATTGGAGTTAAATAAGTCTTAAACAATTAAATTATCAACGGTCTAACATCTTTCTTAAATACTTGAAAAACATTAGAAGGGAGGGTTAAATGTTGTTATAGGAAAACTTTTTGTCGAAAAGGTAGTTTAACAATCTTGTCAGAGATTAAATGATTTATATAAGTTGTTAAACACTTGACTTTGAAAGTTTAGTTCAAACTACAAGTTCACAAATAAATATTTTGCAATTGTCTAGTTAAATTTGTTGCAGTATTTTGAGAAAGATAACTCTTAATCTCATTTGGTGAAGAGAACTGTTGTAAATGGTTGATACAATATGCAATTGCAGAGTTTATAAGGAAAATATTTAGCAAGACTGAAGTAATAAACACATTTATTTTATACTGGTTCACTCTATCGAGCTACGTCTAATTCTTCTCTAAGACCTCTTAGAGGGTTCCACTATAATCTTCAACAAAGTTACAATTGAGTATTTGCATCACTCATGGTATCACCTAATCAATCCAGTAACCTCCATTACTCTAACTAGAACCAAATTTCACCCACTTTTGGTTATACAATATTCTTCACCATTTCCGGTATCCTTAGACACTTCCGAGATCTTCCTGATACACTGTCTAGTTGAATTTCTCCCACTCTTGGTTTCCACTAGACAAACTCGTTTAGCTACGGTTTAACCCCACTGAGTTAAGCGTTAACTGTTTGAATTCTCTTCAGAATTTGCAATCAATCAGATCGCTTACAAGTCCTTAGAAGATTACTCTTGTAGAGAGAATGTGTATAAAATATTATTCAATCTAACAGACTCTTAGAGCTTTCTCTCTTCTTACAACAATAAGCTTATGATTCTGTGAAGCTTGAAAGTGTTTTCTTTTCTCTTGAACTTGTTTTTCTTCTGAGATATTTTCTTTTGTGTTGGTGTGCTTATCCTCTTGCTATTTTCTTCAACGTTCTTCAATTTACAGGCTTTTAGAAAATGTCTGTTGAATTACTTTGATCTTCGGATCTTAGCCTTGTAGTACGTAACAATTGTAAGTTAAAGTCAATTTGTCAAAGTAGACATGTTTTTTCAGTACTTTATGAAAAATAGGTTGTACGAACTCTTTGGCATGACTTTTGATAGAGAGAACATTCCGTTAATGTCTTCTTTGTCTCTAGTGTCCACTTTTAGACTTGTATATGATAAAGCAGGTGAATGTTTGACCTAAGTAATATGCACATAGTAGAGTAGATATGTATGTAGATAGATATGTGCTTTTTCTTATCACTTTTGTAGTTTTAGACGTTGTGCATTTGATGTCATTTAATTCGCATTAAGAATAACTATAAGTTTTTCAAAATTTTTATCTTTTAAGCATTATGGTAGAGATACCAAGCAATTCATGAGAATTTCATCATTGGATGAAAACTTCATTTAACACATGGTATCGTTTAGCCTATGCAAGACTTTTCCTAACAATCATTTAGTTATAGAGCACATTTAGTGAGATATCTTTCAACATATGTTTTTAGAATAATGTTTGTATTTCAACATATGATTTTGGAACAGTGTCTGTACCTTTTAGCATGTTTACCAAAAACACCATTGTATACATCATAGTGAGAGCTCGTCTAACATTGCTTATAGTAAAGTATAGCACAAGGGCATTTAGCAAGACTCTCATATAACATTGACACATTTTGTGATAAAATCGTTTAGTAGTGTGTCTGCTCATATATATTAATACGATTACTAAAGTTTTTCTTTAAAACATTTAAATTCCATAAAAAAATTTCATAAAACATTTATCTTCCAATTATATTATTTTTCCAAAAATAACATTTTGTCATATGCTAATTTCAATTATTGTTATTTGTTAAATTTCAAAATATAAGAATGTTTAGACAATTCAATCTTACAAACAATATTGTTTTAACACTTTCTATTCTAAATCTTCTTATTACTTAACAAAACATGCTTTATTTTATTAAAGGAAATACTATTAAAATATCATAAAATAATCAACACTTAACTTCTTAGTCCAACTTGACTTCAAAAGAGGGAAAAAAGAAAGTAAAGAACTAAACTCTTTCTTTTGATGATTTATTTCTTATAACTAATTATTTAACGCAATTACTTGTATGCAATTCTTTCTTAGTGGGAATTTTTTCCACCTATTTTGGAATGGTCTCTATAGTTTACTTAATATTATTACTAATTCAAATCCTTCTGAAGTATTTACTTTTAATAAGGATGCAATTGAGGTCTCGTTTCCTCTTTCTTGTACGTCACCTTGTCTTTACACTAATCATCAACCCTCACCTGTCACTAAACTCCTTAATCCTTTAATTTTGGGGGATTATATGAGCTGATCACAAGATTTTTTGAAAGTTATAAATTGTCAAACTTAATATACATCAAGTATCAATGATATTTGTTGATCAATAATAACTTTTGAACAACCATTCATGGATTTGCCAGGGAAGGAGATATGGCTAATGTGCTCAAGTGTATTGAAAATGGTGTTTCAGTTAATTTGAAAGGTGAGTTATTTATAATAGCTATTTGCTTTTCCTTGTGTATACATTATTCTCTACCGACCTGTGAGTTTTTTTTTTTTTTTAATGGATCAAGCTCCTAATAAAAACTTGGGACTAGCACTAGAAATTACAGTCAGTTTAGTGAAACTTCATCTACCTGAATTTAGCAATTGCTTGATAAGTATAATAATAAAAAAAACATTTAATTTTAGTATAAAAATAAAAAATAATACCATATATGATTAAACTATATATTAAAAAAAATATTATCTTGTAAAAAAATTTCAGTATTTTACTAAAATATATTATGTTAATTATTTATTATTTTTTATTGTATTATTTTAAATAATTTTACAAAATATAAGTTACTTATATAAACATTAAATAAGAATAATTTAGTAATCTTCATATTTTATTTATATACTTTTTTTAATTTATCAAATGAATCAAATCTTTGATAATTTATTTTAAAATTTATTTTTCGAGACTTTCTAAAAAAAAATAATACATGTTTTATTCTTAAATTCATTTATTCACTCTCTTCAAATTCATCTTTACAAGTAAATACAATCTTAAAATTAAATTGAAATCATACACAAAACTCTGAATTGTTAAAATATGAACACCGTATTTATTAAAAACTAAAAATTGAGTGAGAAAATAACTATTAAATTGTAACATGGTGAGCATTGATGAACAATAAGACATCATCATGAGAAAAAACTTAATTTATAATTTAACAGTATTTAACATTTTTTTCATATAATTATAATAACTTTAAATCAATACTTAATTATAGAAAATAAAATAAAATAAAGTAAAGGTATACAGAGGTGGGTCATATAAAACTCACCAAGTGTGAATGATTTGATGTGATAGAGAGCCCACACTGAAAGAAGTGGTGATTGAAATGCAGGGAAGTATTTTGGTTGCAAAAAGAATAGAAGAACAAAAGTAGTTGAGGAGAATTGAATGGTAACACAATGAAACATTATTTGGGCATTAGCCGGTGAAAGTTAGGGAAAAGCAACAAAACAAAAGCAGTGTGGGGGAAATGAGGGAGAGGGATGGTCACAGAGCAGTGTTACCCAAGAGAATAATTCTGGTGCGCCACGGGGAGTCGCAGGGGAACAACGACCCCGCCGCATACGACACAACGCCCGACCCTAAGATCCAGTTGACAACGCAAGGCATTGCACAGGCGCGACACGCCGGGGCTCGCATGCGCCACCTCATCGCTGGCGGAGGCTCCACCAATTGGCGCGTCTACTTCTACGTCTCTCCCTACGCCCGCACTCGATCCACGCTCCGGGAGATTGGTCGCTCCTTCTCTAGGAAGCGCGTCATCGGAGTCAGGGAAGAGTGCCGCATACGCGAACAGGACTTCGGCAACTTCCAGGTGCAGGAACACATGAACGTCATCAAGGAGACTCGACAACGCTTCGGCAGATTCTTCTATCGGTTTCCAGAAGGAGAATCCGCCGCCGACGTCTTCGATCGCGTTTCCAGTACGCTCTCTCTATCTCTCTATCTCTATCTTTCGCTCATTCTCTTTTCTGTCGCAAATCAAAATTGAATGTTTCTCGTCGTTTCCTGGAATTAACTACAATTTTCGCAATAGTTAGGGCTGAATGTATATATAGAATAAGAATTATTGATTAAATGTTCGAAGACAAGAATTAGGTCAATAGGCTAAGCATTTAGGAGGTTATTTGTTTGGATTGAGCAAAAGAGATTAATTGAGTTCGGATGAAATGGATTGGAATGAAATACGGGTTTAACTACACTGTCAATTGATTGGAAGACGATTAGTAGTAGGTTTGATTTTTAATTGGTTGTGATAAAATTCTGTGAACCTGTTACAGTTTATTTATTGGATGGTGGTGTCGGTACATGCAATGTGAAAGACTCATGTTTCATTATTCTCTATCGTGATTCATCTTGATTTTAAATCTAAACAATAGTTGGTTTGGACTTGTGGTGCACACTGGGAATGAAAATTTTATTTTACTTGAAAAATGCATATTTGAATAAACTGGATTGATTATAGTTAAGTTTTAAAGCGCTGTTAGTTCAAATTGTGATTTTTTGGTTGAAAGGTGCTAAAGAAGACATTATGATTTTAGACACACTGTGTTGTTTTGCAGGTTTCCTCGAATCTCTGTGGAGGGATGTTGACATGAACAGACTTAACCACGATCCTTCTGATGATCTGAATTTGATAATTGTGTCACATGGACTGGCATCTCGTGTTTTCATGATGAAGTGGTTCAAGTGGACAGTTGAACAGTTTGAGCTTCTGAGAAATTTTGAAAACGGTGAGTTCCGCGTGTTACAGTTGGGGAGTGGTGGAGAGTACAGTTTGGCAGTTCATCACGCAGACGAAGAACTGCTTGAGTGGGGTCTCTCTCCTGATATGATAGCTGATCAGAAATGGCGAGCCTGTGCCAACAAGGGTGAGTGGAACGATCGATGTTCCTGGTACCTTGATTCTTTTTTCGATCCTCTTCCTGATTCTGATGATGACAATGTGGATAAACTTGACGAGACAAATTCTTTGACTGTGCATAGCTAGCTTCTGGGTTGGGTTTCGTAGTTAACATTTATTGGACAGTAGGTTGTTCTTTGTTTGAAGAAAGAAAATTTCATTTCCAAAACAGAGGGAAGTTAAGAAGGGAAAGGACAAGGTGATTAACGGTTGTTCCTTCTTAGTTAGCTGCCCTAATCATTCATTCATCATCATAAGCTTGGCATTCAATTGTAAGGAATGGTTGTTTTGTGAATGCATAATGAATGGTTGTTTTGTGAATGCATAATGAATGGTTTGCTTTGTGAATGCATAATGCATGCATAATATGAATGCATCACGACAGAATTTAGGAGAGCCTAATATACAGTGTTCCTCGACTTTGTACTCACTTTTTTATTCTTGATGTTTGTGAATATTGGATACCATTCTGGATCTTTCATGATGTCAAAAATTCTTCTGGATTGTACTGATTTACACATTTTTTAGGTTGAATATACCTATAAATCATATAGAGCAGGGTTGTGTGAAAAATACATCAATTTGATAGAAAAAGAAAGAATTGCAAATGAGTGAGTCCGGTGATATTTGCACAACAACACTTGCCATTTTTTATTTAGTGTATCTTGCCGTTTAAAGATCAATTTCAATGTCTGAATAAAAATCTAAAATATTTCAAATTTAATGGCATATTAGTGATAACAAATTATGATTTTAATAATGACATGGTATTGTAATTCTTCTATCCATTTAATTGCTGAGTCCCACTGCAGCCGATTTTATTTTCTTCGATACAAGTAGAACTACCAGGCATCAGTTGATCACGACATTTATTACCTCTGTTTTCTTTTTTTTGTTTGTATGTAGAATGATAATGTACATATGGAAGAATGTACTTAGTATTTGTATTTATGATATATTTTTAACTTCGTAAAATTTGTTTAATTCATAATAAGTATGTAAAGTATTTGACAGTTAATGAATATTGACCATACTAAAAATAATTAATTCCATTGATTTTTATCTTTCTTTGTAGGCTTTTTATATAGAAACCCATGAAAATAGAATTTACTTTTAAAAAGTATTGATACCAAAGGCAGAAAAGTGGGCCGGTGGACTTAATGGAGATTCCAAAGTAGATAAAGTAAAAATGAATTGAATTGGGTGTTCTGTTACGTTGTCTTTGCTTAGGGTTTTGAGGTTGGAAAAAGTAATTAGGTGGCGGTGTTCAATAAATTCGATCAACTCTGTTATATTTAAGTTCGTTGTTTTCACACATTAGTTAGTTGCTCCATTGTTGGCGTCAGTGTCCATTATTTGATACCCCTAGGCTACAATAGTAAATAATATTTAATGGATGGGTTAAAATTCAAAACAGATAAAAAAATAAAACATACTGAGTTTTCATTGGATTTTTCTTTAATTTATTTAAATTGAAAATAAAGAGTCAAACCAAACGGTTTATTGTATTTAAATATAATCTTGTATATTTAAAATCAGTTAACTACTGATAAACATGTTCTTAAATATTGATTTATAATATGATCACAAAATATTTATATTTATCAAAAGATATAATATAAATTGAATTATAACGTTTAAATATAATATTTATAGTTTGTTTTCCCTCCGATCTATAATTCCATTCTGAAGTTAATCTTTTAATTAACCAATCCTTAAACAAATATGGTACTATGAAAACCTACAACGTTCCATTTGCCTTTGTCTTTATCGTAACACCCCGAAAATTTTGCAGTCCTGCACGTGCACAACACAGACCAAGTGGAACGTATCTACCTGAGTAGCAACAAAGAATCTTTCAGTTGCACCGTTCCAAAATTACAGGGCACATACGGTTATTTAATCACTTTAGTTTGAGGTCAAATACAGAGTAACCAAACGGGGCATAACAAAACATAACCTACCAAGTACTAACTCCTCCTTATTGGTTAATACCAAGTTTCAAAATGTCAAGGTTACCGTTCTCATTTAAACAAACAAACCAACCCAATCATTAAAGCAACCTTCTTGATTATCCTAAAGCCGCAACATTACCACTCTTTTTCTTACTCATTATTCAATTTCTACCCCACACTTGAGCACCAAATTCCCGTTTTCCAAACCCCATAAAGACACCATCTTTACACTTTCCCGGGATCTGGGTCTCCTTTAATTTTCCCGAAAGACAAAGTAGACAGTGCCTTCCACACACTTTGAAAAGAGAGAGACTATGTGTGATAGTTCATGAAACTGAAGTGTTTCTCTGTCAATCATTGTGTTTTACAGTCAAATTCAGCGTCTATGATCCCGTTTTGTAAAATTTTCCGCTTGATAAAGGTGGTTTTCTCTCGCAACTTCACAAAGTCACACCCTTTATTTATCTCGGTATCCAACAAAGTGTTGTTCCTTACTTGCTAACTCACTGACCCAGATCTTCAAATGGCAGTGTGAGTCTTGCATTGTTGCAGGAGCCTTCTATCAAGAATTGCTGAAGTAACTGTTTTGAGTTTGTAATGAGGGTGTGGAGGGTTCACCTACCAGAGCAAAAGCTTTGTCCTCATGGTGTTTTGAGGTGGGTTTTGGTTTGGATGAGTGTGTGTTTGTTTCTGGTCACGGTTGGTCCACCGTCTCGGTCGCTGGTTAAGAAGAGTGCACCTCCTCGATTTTCTTGTCCTCCCTGTGATTGTCACTGCTCTTCAGCAGAACATCTCCTCGATCCTTTGGGTGAGTGAAGTTTCCTTTTTTAGTTTCTGTGTAATGTAGCAATTCTGGTCTTGAAGTCAAAAAAAGAAACAAGTTTGATTTGATGCAATGACAAGAAAAAGACAGAAGTAACCCTTGTGTGTTTGAAAATGGAAAATGGAAAATGGTGTGTGCATAGAGAATAGGTATAGCATTTAGTTAGCATTTATTGTGTCCAGTGCTGAGCTATTCTAAATCTGGAGTTGCCACATCTGCAGCAATTTGCAGAGGAACTGGCTTCTGCACTTTGTATCCTTTTTTGAAAAAAAATCATCAGAAAAATACTGACTTTGTATAAAGGATTAGAGCCACTATATCTTTAATCCTTAATAATGTAGAAAGCTAAACTTTTCTTATTTCTGCTATTTCATCCATACATCAATTGGTAATCTTGAAATCTTGGTTTCTGCCTTTGGTCTTAAAAGGGAAGAACCAAAGAAAATTGGTGCATTGGGTTACCTAATATTAAGCCTAGTGCCATAACTGTAGTTTGTGTTGCCACATATTTAGTTAGACATGGTGGAAATTCGAAGATTACACGTTGGAGTATTAGTTTCCAGTTTTAGTTATCCTTGTACTAATCAATATATATGTATATATGTATGGTGTGACATTCTTTAATATAATATATTGGTTTATTTCTCAACCGTGTTGCTGACTTTTGCAGGACTCGGCAATGGCTCAGTTTCTGGTAAATTAATCTCTTGCATTTCTACTTGTTGAAACGTTTGACAAAACAATTTGCTTTACTCTTACTTTGATGCATAAAGGGTTAAATTTTTAATATGAAACTTGACTCATGTAAGTGTAGATTGTGGTAAACATGATCCTGTTTTGAATGAGGAAATGAATAAGGATCTATTGGCAATGCTATCTGAGGAGCTAAATTTGCAGAAAGTAGTGGCCAAGGAGAGGTTGGAACACACGAAAAGGTTAGTAATGGATGCCAGGAAAAGCTTTTCACAGTACCAGAAAGAAGCAGAAAAGTGCAACATTGGAATGGAAACTTGTGAAGAAGCAAGGCAGAGGGCAGAGGCAGAGCTCATTGAAGAACGAAGGCTCACAACAACGTGGGAAAATCGAGCTCGTGAATATGGGTGGAGTGACAGAAAAAACCATCATTAGCTAATGATAATTGTGTAACATAGCTTTCATAGCCAATGCACTGGTTTCTTGAAATGATTTCAGAAAGGTCAGTTATTCCATTGAAGCATAGTTCAATACTAACAATGCCATTTGCCAAAGCTTTTCAAAATAGCACAATCCTTGTTTAGCAAATGACAGTAACAGATCCAGAAGTGATGAAAAACCAGTGGATTTCATTCAGTTCAGATATTTCCTCGACATCAAAATTTCATTACAACGAAAATGCACTACAACTACAGTACTTGTATTTTGTGTCACTTAATTGTTTTCGCTCTTTTAACATTTTGAACATTTTATAGCACTTATTTAACCTTTGGGAAAACATTTTTCTTATGTTTGTGCTTCGTTTTAATAATGATAATTTTATTCTTTTGGTTTTTAATAAATTTGTAATTTTACTCCTGTCAATGTTTTATATAAAAAAAACACATAAACACATATTTTTAGATGTTATAAGTAATCTCAAACTGGATTGAATTTTAGTCAAATAATATTATATCTCCAATAATGACACATTTCTCTGAAAAATTCCATTAAAGAAAATCAAAAGAAGATTTCCCCAAACTACAGAAAAGTATGTTAAAGAACCTAGTTGCATAAAGGTATGTACGTAAATGGTTGGCTCTCTCAAGTATAGACTATCTAACATCGAAATACATTATTTGAATTATTTGAACTTCTTTCTTTTTAAATTCTGGTTAGATAAAGCTAAAATTATTTTCTTAAATGTTATGTTTGTTAAAATAATTTAAATATTTTTAAATTTTGAGTTTTAATATATATATATATATATATATATATATATATATATATATATATAAAATTTTATTTGTGAACCATATAATTATAAGAATGGAAGAGTAATAAGAAAGGGAAAGGAAAGATATAAAGGAGAAAGATGATGGAATTGAAAACAAAATCTGTAAACAAAATGTTTAATGTTTCGGTAGGTATCTATTTTTGTTTAGAATCTCAAATTGATCCTCTTTTTTTTTTTTTTCAGCGTATCAATTGAGTCCTTATTTTATGAAAATTGCAACAATTAGACCTCTGTAATTAAATTGGGCCCGTTAACGTATGATTGACATGGCACGCTGATGTGGAATTTTATTTTATTTATTAAACATTGAACTGAGTAGCAAAGCGTATCAATTGGATCCTTATTTTATTTTTATCACCCTTGACACATCATCATCTTCTACCCCCAGAAATCCTAGCCTTTTCCCCTACCATCCATCGTCGTACCACCAGCAGCAAAGCTGCCACAAATCGCCATGGGATCCTTCATCACCACCACAAATAACATCGTCGGACTGCAACACTCATCTTCTCCACCATCAATAACTAAAATCATTCATCTCCATTGCAGGGATTTTTCCACATATATTTCAAGCCAGAACCCAACTTCCAAGCCCTAATTGCAGGGAACATCAGACTACTGCGAGATAGCCATGAATCACGCCACCTCAGAGATCGTCCAAAATCACCATGTTGCACCACCGTTTCACCATCATCAACCGCATTAGAAACCTGCAGAAGAACCCAGAAATCACAAACTCCATTGATGCACGAAGCTTCAACCTCCATCGCAGAAGACCATCTTCGTCTTCTTCAACGCATCGTCGCGACACGTCTCCATCACCTTCGCCAAGCCTAAACCTGCAAACCACAAAATCAAAAAGAGCTCATCCTAAACCCCAATTGCGATAAACCCTAGTTCGCGAAACACCACCATCGAGCTCGTTGTCAGACGCAAGCCTCCCTGGCCACCATGCCGCAAAAATAACCATGCCACCACCCAAACACCATTGAAGCCTCCATGGAAACCCTGCAAATAAGAAAACCACAAAGCCACCAGAGAGCCATTTTCATGCCTTCAAATCACAAAATGAGAGACCCTTCACATCCACTGTTGGCCACCGTGAATGAAAGGGTGAAACCCTGATTCTAAAAGAACTTTTCTCCAATCTGCATAATAAGTAGTGGCGTAATGGAGATGTCCGCGAGGGTTTCTCTGCATCGTGATTTCTGTGTGTGTGATTTGATTCACGGTGGTCGCAAATGGTGAGGATTTCGCAGAGAAAGATGATGGTCGTAGTGGCTATGGCAGCGCGGAGAAGATGACGACAACGATCTGATGATTGCCAATATTTTTGGTAAAAAAATAAATAAAAAAGACATGTCAAAATATATTGAATTCCATGTCATTTAGAAACGAAGCTCAGCGTGCCATGTCAATCATACGTTAACGCCGTTGGACCCAATTTAACGGCATGGTCTAATTGTTGTAATTTTTACAAAATAAGAACCCAATTGAGATATCGAAAAGAAAACAGATCAATTTAAGATTCTGAACAGAAATAGGAACAAAGGACACGCTATAGATCAATCTTAAGATCAATTTAAGATTCTCGAAACATTAAACCTGAAAAAAATTATGAATGTAATGATGACACGCTATAGAGCATATATAAAAAAACTAGTTTTTCTTTTTTATTCAAACCCTAATCCTTGCATAAAGAAAACAAATTTTATTAACCCTGTCTATTGTAAGACTCATGAAAAATATATATTTTAATAAATAGAAGTAAGTTTTAGCGTTATTATTAGTAATAATAATGAATAGAAAAATATAAATAAGTTTTATTTTAGTTAATTATCCAAAATATTTAATTACGGGTGTGTAAAACGTGTTAAGAAAATTTTAATCCTCGAAAATGCATAAAACAAGATTACATAGTGTTGTTCGCATTATATTGTCAGCAAAACGATAATGGCCTAGTGGTAGGTGCATGTGGAAAGGGTAACTGAGACCCTGTGTTCTATTCCCACTGTTTTCACATTTTTGGTTGGTGAGTATGTGGGTCCCATATCTTGCATGAAAGAGAGAAAATATTGTGGTGCACGTAAAATCTGCAGAGGAGAAGTTTTCTCTTCTTTGGTTTTAGTTTTCTTAACTCCTTCCTTGCATGGTACATGAATAGGAAATGTGATGGTAAGTTTAAATTTTTTTTATGCCTTGGTTACTTAAGGGAAGTTAGAGTTATTTGTTTTCTTCTTTTTTTTCTAAATTGTATTATATACTCTTGGTTGGTATAAGGTTATTTTTGGGGTTACATAAATTTGTAGAAGAAATATTGGCACCTTTGTTTGGTATTATTACTCCTTATTTTCCTTATTGTTTGGTGCATTTTTGGTTGATATGGAATATTAACTCTTTGGCCAAGACTTTTGGGTATCTTGAGAGGGTTCATTTGTCTCATTAGTCATCCTAAAGTACTCATTCTAGCCTTTAAAAGCACCTTTGCACACATGAAAGTGGGGGGGAGAAAGAACATATTTTTATTATCATAAGTGAAGTGAGAGTGAGAAGTAGAAGACTAGAGGAACAAGAGTGGAGGAGTTTTAACATCAAAGAACCCATTGGAAGATTCTCTACATTTAAGAGGTAAGGGGGGGCTACTTTTCTTTGTTTATATTTGATGGGAATAAGTGTCTGCATGTAAGGGGGAGTGACCATGAAAAATGTTAGTTGTTGTAGGTAAGGGGTATATCTATGGAGTATGATAGCATGAGGTAATGGTGTTAGTTTCATCTTTAAAATGCATGGGTATACATTTTATGAAGAGTTGGGGTATACTGTGCATGTGTATAACTTTGATATTGGGTTGGGGTATACTTTGATATATGTTTTATTTGGGGTATAGCTTAATATATATGTTGCATGGGGTATAACTTTGATATGTTTAATGCATGGGGTATAACTTTATTAAATGTTTTGCATGTGTATAGCTTTATATTGGGTATAAGTTTTATGAAGGGTTGGGGTACACTTTATATATATATGTTTTGTAAGGGGAGCTAATCCTTCTTGTATATGATTTTTATCTATGTTATAATAATGAATATGAGTTATGAGTATGTTAAAATTTTGGTAATAGTAGTTATCTATTCACTTATATAAATTTAGTTTTCATGATTATAATTTTCTTATTTTCAAGTTAGTATGGTAAAAATTTTATTTTAATTATTTTGACCGTTGGATTTAGCTAAAATTTTAATATATGAATCCTAAGACCTATTTCTTCACTTTGACCGTTGGGATTTGTAATTAGAAGTCTGTACTTAGAGAAATAAATCCTGCATGTTTGAGTAAATTAATTACCCCTGTAGATCTGTTACTGAGTCATCTCGGTAAAATATATATTACGACTTATTTGACCGTTAGATCAACTTGAAAATTTTATATATGATTCCTAAGATATATTAATACACTGTGACCGATCGGATTATAAATTGAAAGTCTATGTTTGGAGAAAAAATTTTTAAGTTTTGAAAAATCTGATGAACACTATATTTCTGTTCTTAAGTTATTATGGTAAACATTTCATATATATTTATTTACCGTTAGATTGAGCCCAAAATTTAGTATGTAATTCATAAGACATGTTAAGTCATTTGACCGTTCAGATTTGTAATTAAATGTTTGTCTTAGGGAAATTAGTTCGCATTTTGAGTATAATTGAAAACCACTTAAAATTCTGCACCTAGTTACCTCGGTAAAACCTCAATATCTATCTAGTTAACCGTTGGATCAACCTGAAATTTTAATATATAGTTTATAACAAATAGTGAATTATTGTGACCATCAGATTTGAAATCGGAGTTACAGATTATAGATATTAATTTCGTATCTTCTCAGAGATCTCAATATTGCTTAAATTTCTATTTTTTGATATCTATATTAAATTTCGGTGTTAATATTATATGCTGTTGTTTTAAATCTGTAAATAAGAAATTTGTTAAAAACTATTTGAGGAACCTTTGGCTAAGGAAAGATTGGTACTTAAGTTGTCCATTGTGACGCACCTCTCTTTCCTGGAAGTCTACTCGACAAGTTTTTAACTTAAATCCTATTGAACAGATTATGTACTGTTAAATTATTTGTAATATTCTTGTTGGAATATATTCAGTTTGTATGATTTCTGAAATAATTGGATTTATTAGATTTGAATTTATGCATCTGAATAAGATTGTGAATTATAATGATGTGATTTATGTGGAGAGTATGTGAATTATGGATATAGTAATTTGTATGACTTTTGGGATGGATGAACGTGATGCTATTGGTGTATGCATTCTGATTTGGTGTTTGATGCATATTGGTGTATGCATGATGCATATTGGTGTATGCATGATGCATATTGGTGTATGCATGATGCATATTGGTGTATGCATGATGCATATTGGTGTATGCATTCTGATTTGGTGTTTGATATATATTGATGCATG